GATACCGAGCGTAAAACAGAACTCGCTAGAGCCAAAGTGAAGGGCCTGGAGGTAGATATTGTTTCATACGGGTGAGGTGACGGGGAGCTACTGTCTGTGGGTATGGACGTGAATGCAAACGCAGACTTTGACGGGGATGCCGATTCTAAGATTGGCGGCATGGGCAAAATGGGTGGATTCAAGGTAAAAGGTCCGTTGTATCATGAGAGAATAGGCAGATTAGGGTTGCCGGAGTTTGTTGATGATGTTCCCGAGGTCGCTGTCCATGCTCCCGTGCTTTTGTTACCCGCGCCTGCATCTGTTACTATTGATCTACCCACCGTTTCTTTACCTGCGGCTCATTTTGCGCACATGTTCGTTGTTGACTCTTAGATACGCTCGGGTCATATTAATTCTGCCGGATGGGATGACGTTGATCGCGGTTCTGATTCTGCCCTTCGTGTGGACTGACGTCCACCGACTGCTGTGTGTTCTCAACTTTCAAACCCTATTTCCACAGTTGAATTGGTTGAGCCTGAGTCAGTTGAAATTGAAGAGACTTTAGTAGTTGAAGACTCGGTACTGCGGGTGGAACCATCGACCACGAAATTGACATCTTCGTGGTCACACTTGAAAGGAAGAAGTCAAGGCGAGTTCATATATTTTGAGGTCGGCATACCCATGGGAAATGATATCGCGGAGACTCTTTGGGTACTTAACCAACACCTGAGTAAAGAAAGGAAGCCGGTTGCCGTGGGAACATTGATTAAATCTACTTGTGACAGACTAAAGGAGAATGCTGTCGATCACCGTGTTGCCAATAAAGAGAGGGGCAGGACGGAGTTCATAAATGGTTATACGACTCTGAGTTCTCGAACACTTCGGTAACGATTGACAGGCACTCGTAAGAGGACAAACGGGCATTGGTTATTGCGCATTCATCCGTTGTGCGTACACAGGCGGTCGAGAAGGCTCAAATAGCACCAATGCGTAACGGACCACTGAGTCCACCAGCTTCAAACAGTACGACCTGGAGCCCATTAAACGAAACAGATGCGAATCCTCTGGGATCTGCCAAGCACTGACAATTAGTTAAACATTATAATGTGGGAACCAAACAAGTACGTTATTTGACAGGTGTCTTTTGGCGTCGCTGGACGAAATAACACTTCCTTACACTGTCACTAGGTTCTAAATGGCTTCGAGTGTCTCGAGAGCCGGAAGTGCGCGGTCTGGCCAATAGGGATCATTGGATGATGCAAATTTGGTCAAGTACGGCCCGTATACATGAGATCGGCAGGCGGCGTTCAAAAAGGAAACGTTTGAAGGATTTTTCTTAAAACAGCATGACAGAATAAAATAATATATTTAGAAAGGAATAGGTGGAGATATATCAGAAAAATAGTATATTGTGCCGCATGTAGTGAAATAGTTCAACCGTTGCTGAAGATGTACCTTTCCCCAATTCCATTAAAATGAAAACTACAGACAGCTTTATATGAGGGGTGGTGTACACCTCTTTCAACGTAATAAGAGCTGTCCTGCATGGTCATATATAAGTCTTGTTTGCTGTAAACGTCTTCCATTAGATACATACTGATAAGAATAAATGAGTGAGTTTATAATAGTTCCTGAAGAAATGCAGGTTCTCTTTTACAATAAAGGAAGCAACCATTGGAATACTCGTTCACTACCCATTTTACAACGTACTCCGTTTTGATGGCTGGCCAAACTCGAATGAACGGAGCTATGGCTCCCTACAAAAAAGTGCCTTGATGAAATTTTTATGCAACTGACTGAAAATGTTGTAAAAAATAGTACAGATGAAGATAATTAGTTCCCTTCGAAGATCACCTTGCGGAAGAAGTCAGAATAGTAAACAATTTCCAGAAATTTATTATCGGAAGACAGGCTTGGCTGAGTCATCAATTTATATCTTAGTTTTTGGTCCCCATGTTTGTCCCTGCCCACTGGCCCTAAGTAATGGAAGCGCCTAAATTGTACGTACTTTACTACGATTTGAGCACGCAGGGAACATGTTCATGGCAGCCAAATTGAAGGAAATGGCAGATTTCATATTTAAGTGCGCAAAAATACTAGAGTTATGACTCCTCACATTGCGTCATGTCTATGCCTCTCGGATTTGGGGATATGCTAGTACGGAAGACCAAGTACTCCTGCTACAATTATTATAGCTTTTTATTTTGTAAGTGTTGTGGGTCGCACACGTAAGCAAATTTTATTTAAATATTTAGGACCTTTTGGAAATAGTATTTGCAGAAGTTGTTTTAGTAGGCTCAACGATATGGTGTACTTATGAATCTGCTGGACTTCACCCGTCCTGTAATAAACAGTTCATTGTCTCTTTGTAATGCAGAACTCTCGGAGGAAACAGTCTCTTCAACTCGAAGCTTTATGGAAGTCGAATGTCCAAGAAATCACACTTGACGGCCGAGAAATAATTGAAAAGTAATGTTTCTTATGATTATTACGCGCGCTATAGGCCATGCACTGCGGCAGACAATTTCCAACGCGTTGTCAATTCAATCGACTTCTCAACCTTCAGACCCGATCTGCTGGAGCAAGAGCAAAGGCTCTTGCCAGAATCATCTTCCAAAGTTACTGAAGAAATGTGGTCCGGGCTGAGAGACAATGTTCGGTAACGTCTATTTCGTTGTCTGTATTATGTTTGCAGTAATTCGCTAACTGAACTCTGTGCATTAGTCGACTTGCTTGCTGTATTAAAGGAGACAAAGTACCTCTCAATCTTTCGTGTTGATCCTAAAACATCTGAAACGCCGATTATTACTTTTCTGGCCGGAAAGAAAATGGTATTTATTTTTTTTTTGATTCATGATGGAATAGGCTCTTGCTACAGCCGCTGATACGCTTCTTAAAGGCGCGGAACGTTTACACTGTCGCTGTTCAGAAATTTCTGTTGCGCGCCAGACTTCAAGTGACTCTCGAAAAATGCGGTCTTACCATGACAGTCTAATGCATCTCCGCAAAAGTTGGAGACTTAAGCTGTTGCAAAACGTCGTACTGGGGGACGTCAGCTTGCGATCTATCGGCTCACGCTTCAACGAGTGTGGAAACTTTGTCGTTTACGAATCTGATTTGCTTTCTACCAAGTCAAG